ACCCAAAGTTACAGACTTTGGGGTATGTGGGTCCCAGCTCTTCGCTTCTTTGCTGACATTACTGCTTCCAGGAATTAAATCAAAACCCCACTTAACTTCAGAGAGGTTGCAATTTGCATCTAAAGCGCTGCTTAAGCCTCAGTTGTAATAAACAGATACAGCTCCACTGAAATCGAAGGAGTTATTCTGATTTTGTCTGGTTACAGATCTACAGACCCATAAACATTACAGCTCATCCAACCTCCAGCTAAATATCTTCTAATAGAAGACCATTATCTTTGTCAGACTGATTTGGGCAACTTGTTTAAAGCACTCTTGAAGCCTCATTAGCATCTTTGGGTTTTGGTGGTTGTATTTTAAGAATAAACCCCAACAGCTATTAAACACTTGTAAAAGGCATGTTAACAGTTTACAAACAAAGCTGGAGTGGAGATATAACTATGTTTTTGGCTTTTCATTGGTAAATTGGTAAAATGGAGGGAGCAAAGAAAACAGAAAAATGAAACGGAGCTGTGCACACAATGAAAAAATCACCCATGTTATTTGACAGATGCTGAATTAAAAAGAAACACAGGGATGAGAGAAGCAAAATCATGCTAGAAAAAGCCAATCCTCTCCTCCTTTTGAACCTTACTAAGTTATATTTCAGGTATGGTGGACAGACAAGATGACGCGCACCCCAGGAAATACAGATGCACTTCGTTGGCCATCACTGGCCATAACAGCTGATCTCAGGCCGGGCTCCTCTCCCTCGAGCCTTCCTCACCCCCCTGTAGTAAAGCATCCCAGCGGCAAGCTCATGCTGACCATGCTCTCTGGCAGCAGAGCAATGCTACGACCTGTTTTACAGCTCTCTGCCCAAGGGTGGATGCTACTGACCATCACTACATCCATACCATGGACCCACGGTTGCCTTCTTTAAACCATCTCACCAAATGAACTGGTTCCCCGGGGCAAAAGGCCACCCCATCCACTGTAACCGAGCTCTTGTTCAGATTGTTGCATTGCCACAGCTTTGTTGATGAAGGTGAGTCTTGGTTTGTTTGTTTTTCTCAGTTGTCCTGCACAAATTATACTGCCAAGCATCAGTTGTAAGCCAAACCTCAGACAGGGAGAGGTGGAAGAGTCTTGCCCGACATTTTGCAGAAAATCCACGAGCATCCCAGGCCCTGCCCCGGGGTTCAGGTGCTGATTGGCAAGGGCCAGCAACACCTCGCTGGAATGAAGCCCTTTACAGCAGCTCCTCAACCTGCAAGCCTTCGGAAAGAGCAGTCCTGACCAGCATCGCAACCTGTTTCAGCCAAATAGAGGAGTGGTGGGTAACATTTGCACTATTTCCTCAGCTGCTTTTAATTTCACTCATTTATCACTCAAGGCAGGAAAATACTCTGAGATCCCCGTGTTTGGGTGTGCCTTGCTTCACAAACAGCTTTGCAAGCCAGCGAGTTAAGCAAGGCGGCAGCACTGCCAGGTCCTGTGCTAAGAGTGTAATGAGGGCACTGTGGTGCCAGCCCACGTCTCGCAGCCATCGGGCTGCAGGATGGCAGCAGATGGGAGCCACATGTCCCAGCTGCTTTTCTGGGCTGGCATGTCACCACACTTACAGGTACGGCTGTGACACCCAAACCGTGCTCCCCAGTTGCACGTCCCTG